CCGATCAGGTTTTATTTATTAACCAATCAGAGCATACAGACCATCCCCCAGCACAGCCAAGTGCAGACCATCTCAAACACCTGCACTCAGGCCCATGGTCCAAATCATCATCCATACGGACCTGCTGGGTAACGCCACAAAGAACCTGAGAATGGGCTCCCACAGGACATACAGAACATCCCACAGCACCCAATATATTTTCTGACTTCCATTTTGAAGTTAAGACATTCTTAAGATATATAGGTTGGTTTATTTACCATTTTCCATAATCCAATGTCTCTTAGCAGCTATTTTTTTTACATTAGCATTTAAAAATTCAAAGTCAACAAAACACCATACCAGATCCAGACACCTTGTGTATTTCCCATCTTTACATGACTTTTTAAAAATATATTACTTTGCTCTCTCTTTAAAGATTTTATTATTTTTAAACTATTTTTTTTCTATGACTTGTCTATACCCATTTTTTAAACTGTATTTGTTTAAAGATTTTCTGAGTCTGGACTGCTTTATTACACACCTGCATCCTTCTCTGACCATGTTAGCCATGCCTTAAACCTGCCACACATGGCTCTACACAATGGTGCTGGTTGACTCAAACCTGCAAGCAGCAGCAGGGAGCTGCATCTCTGTATGCCTTGGCCTGCCTGAGAGACTGTGGTACTAGGAAGCCTTGTCTGGTTCTGTGTTTGCATGTTTGAAACTTTTTTTTAAAGCTTTCTTTGGTCCTATGTGGAAATATGTGACCTCACACTGGGCATAATATGTAACAAGTCTTTCTCTGCCCTGCCAGCCAGTTCCCATTGACACGGAGACTAATTATTAATTATGAAAGCTTGGCCTTTAGCTTGTTTTTAACCAGCTCTTAGAACTTAAATTAACCCATATTTTTATTAGTCTACATTCTACCACATGGCTTTTACTTCTGTTCCATTCTGTGTGTCCAACTTTTTTCACATCTGGCTGGCTCCACATCTGTGCTTAGATACATCTCAAGTTTCCTCTCTCTGCCCTGATGTCCCACCTATCTCTCCTGCTTAGCTATTGGCCATTTAGCTCTTTATTAAACCAATCAGAAGGTACCTTAGGCAGAGACACATTTTTACAGTGTAAACAAATATTCCACAACAGGGAACCTATTTTTGAAAGGGTAGGTATGTTATAGAAGTCTTCAGTGGTTGCAATTGTATGTTGGCCATACAAAGCAGGCAAATTTGAGCATAGAAGTTGCAAACAAACTTTCTGCTGCTAAGGAAAGGACTACTTTACAGTTCCCAGCTCAAGAAAGACTGATACAGGTCCCTGAATACTGGACATTCTGCTGATCATACATAAATTCATTCTCCAGTCATAGCCAGTCTTTGGACAACTACACAATTGAAGTTACCCCCTGCTATAAAATTATACACAGAAAAAGTCACAAGATTGTAAGTTTGTTGGCTATTTTCTGTTGGGCTGCATTTGTAGCTGTTTTTGACCGTATAGTAATCTTATCCCAAAACCTTAAAGAGATGGCAAACAGCCTCCTAGTGTTAATTGTGCATTGTTTCCCCTCACCCCCATGCTTTTCTCACAGTAGCTCATGTGTAGCAGTGTGGGACTAGTCTGCATCTGTGAAGGAATCCCGAAATTTACCGAAATTAACCTTGATTACGAAGTCCTTACTGGCACCTTGGAAGCAGGTCTTTCTCCTCTGCTCACCACAGGTTCCCTCTGTTCCTGCAGGATAGCTGTGTTCTCCGTGACTGTCCTTCATGATGAAAGGATAGTGATTGTGGCTGAGCAGAGGCCGGACTCCACAGAGGAAGACAGTTTTCAGTGGATGAGCAGAGTGCTCCAGGTAGTATGGCTGTGTATTAAAGCTTTTAATTAGGTCCTTCTCATTCACTGTAGGATTGTGGCTCAATCTTTGTCACCCATTCCTTTGCCCATATGACCATATTCTGTTGTTGAAACTACCTGATTGGAAATTCTATATAGTGTCCAGAAACAAGATGAACAGATCAAGGGCAGAAGTCAGGAACTGCAAAACTGCTTCTTAGTAGTTATCTTAGAGGACAACAAGCATGTGTTGTTACAGTCATGAGAATATATGCTCTTTTCTCCAAACCCTCTTTTTAATTATTATAGTTTTCCAATAGCCCTATGTGACATTATGCAACCTTTTTATTGTAGTGAGAAAACCATCTTTTTCTTTGAGTTTCATACACCCAGAGTACTGTCCATACCATGCATAATTTTATAATATAAATTATATACAATACACAGTGGGGTTTCTTTATAATTTAATTTTTATTGAAAATAGTTTTTTTTTTTATACAATATATTCTGGTCATGATTTTCCCTCTCACAGCTCTTCTCAGATCATCCCTACCTCCCTACACATCCAAATCCACATCCTTTCTTTCTCTCATTAGAAAACGAACAGGCAACTAAACATACAGACAAACACACATGCACAGAGAGACAGACAGAGACAGAGATAGAGGCCGACTAGGACAAAAGCAAACAAAAGAAAAAGCATAACAAATGCATACAGACACAGAGATACACACAGTTGTACACACTGAAGTCCCATAGAAACACAAAATTGGAAAGCATAATATATAAACAAAACACCTTTATGATTGAAAAAATGCCCAGCAAAGCATCATGAGACAAAACCCTCCAAACATACCAGTGAGTTCATTTTGTATTGGCTATCTACTGCGGGCATGGGGCCTTGCCCTTAAGTATTGTTTATATACCAAGTAAGACTCTTAATGTGGGGATTTAACAAGACAACTCCATGTAGTTAAAAGGAGGTTTATTTAGGGGTAACTTACAGCCAGTAAAGGGGTTGGTTACAGGATCCAGGAGAGGTGAGTTGCAGTCCAGCGGGGTTCTCTGGAGAACTCTGACTCTGTCTGCCATCCAGTATCCAGGATCAAGAGGAACCAAGAAGGCCAGCATGTCTGGATCTCCTGTCTTAAGGGCTCCTGTCCCAGCCATGCCCCAGGGGCAGGTCCTAGGTAGGTGTGGCAGTTACCAGCTGCCTCACTGGGGCTGTGCTTCAAGGTCAAAGCTGGAACAGCTACCCACAAGACTCTATTGGAGAAAATGAAGTTTTCTTTTGTGACTAATTTTTCCTTCATTGGCATTTGTATAGACAAGACTTTTTTGTGCATGCAGTTATTTACAGAGAGGCTAGTTACAGTGACTCATTCCTGTAATTCCAGCATTTCAGAGGCTGAGGCAGGAGGATTACCTGGGCTATAGTGTGTGGCTGTATCTCAAAACAAATAAACAAAAAACTCAAAATGGAGAAGATAGGAGATGTAGCTCAGTGGGTCAAGTACTTCCTGTGCATGTATAAGGACCTGAGTTCAATCCCCAGGCGCCATGTAGAAAAGCCAGGCACAGTGGTATGTACTTGTGATCCTGTTGATGGAAAGACGGAGACAGGCAGATCCTTGGGGTCCACCATCCAGGCAGCCTAGTCAAATTCTGGGCCAGTAAAAGACCCTTTCTTTCTTAAAAAAAAAAAAAAAAAAGAACAATAGGCAGCCCTTAAAAACCAACACCAGAGGTTGTCCTCTGGCCTCTACACACATGTATTCACATGCATTTGCACATGTACACATACACACAGTTTCACACCCCCATGCACAAACAAAAAAAAAACCCTAAGTAAATATACTGTGCACCTTTTCAGTTTATAGATCCTATTTTAATATGACTGTCTTTCTTATTTTTCAGGCAATTGACAGTATACATCAAGTTGGAGTTTATTGCCTAGCCCTGGTACCAGCAAATACCCTTCCCAAAACTCCACTTGGTGGCATCCATTTGTCAGAAACAAAGCAGCTTTTCCTGGAGGGCTCTCTCCACCCTTGCAATGTCCTGATGTGCCCACACACCTGTGTCACAAATTTACCCAAACCGAGGCAAAAGCAGCCAGGTATGCCCAGTAGCCCTGCATGGTCTGACATAGCCTTGAGTGGACTCTGTAAGCTATGTCTTGTCAGTAGCTGACTAAAGTATCCACTTCTTCAAATTGTATACATATAAGTAATGCTTTAACAGGCAAACTTCAAGAAGATAGGAAGCACTGCTGTGGTGATATTTTAATTGTGCCTAAATGTGATTTTATAGTGTATGTCAATAAATAAAGTTTGCCTGGAGATCAAGGTCATTAGCGAGCCAGGAATAGAAGTCAGGTGGTGGTAGCCCACGCCCTTAATCCAATCACATGGCAAGCAGAGTCTCTGTGTGATCAAGGACACAGCCAAGCGTGGTGACCCTTGAGTCTTTAATCCCAGTACCAACCATAGAGACCAGGAGGTCTGTACAGACAAGCAGTGATGAGGAAGTAATGTGGCTTGGCTTAGAGCCAATGAGAAGGCAGAACAGGAAAGCAATAAAATGCAAGACACACAGGAACAAGGTCTCAATCTCAGGGGAAGGACAACAGCAAATGGTAAGCTAAAGGGAGTTGTGGCTCTTGCTCTGATCTCTTAGGCTTTAACTCTGTATTTGGCTCTATGTTTCTTATTTAATAAGACCATTTAGAAATCCATCTACACACTGCCTTTCAGAGAACATCACAGAAGGATGGAAACCAGCCTCTCTTATCCATACTGTCTAAGAACATAAATAACATTGGAAATGATGTAGTGCTTGCTCTTTGTAGGCATCAACATGCCTACATCTATAGTGTTATGGTTTCATGTTTCTGTCAGTACACACTAACATGTCTTCAGTATCAAATTGAAGGTGACTAGACCATTTTTCTATCATTTTGATAACTTAAGTAATGGAAGGTCTGGCCCTAGTGACCCTACTAGCAATAGTTCCCACAGCAAAGCCTGCCAGTTCAATACCACATGAAGCCTTGGGATAGCTATAGATAGATAGATAGATAGATAGATAGATAGATAGATAGATAGATAGATAGATAGATAGATAGATAGATAATTATTTGCAAGTAAATAACAGGATTTCATAATGACTGACCTCACCTGTTCAATCTTAAGAAACTAAGTAGGTGGGAAAATTCAACCCATGGGAAAAGACCTTGATCTGAAGCTGGAGCAAAGGGCAGGACACCCAAAGAAACATGCTTTTATTAGTTATAGAGGGAAATGGTTGTTTTAATACTTTAATACTGTACCTACTCAATAAAGCTGTATGTGATCATTAACTCAAGGAAGAAATTATATATATATATATATATATATATATATATATATATGTATGTATGTATGTATGTATATACATATATACACATATATGTGTGTGCAGGTTTGGTAATATAATTGTGTCTCCAAAACACATTCTTTTTTTTTTTCCTTCTTTCATTCTGCAAATAGAATCCAGGGCTTTACAAATGTCTTGTCTCTTTTCCTCTGTCATTTTTTTCATCCTCTTTCTATCTTCCCTTACTCCCCATCCCTTCAGCAAATACCAAATAGCAACTAAGCTGAGGCCCTATGACTCACTTGAATATGACTCTGTAGATTTGCTGATGATCTGTAATGGCTTTAGAGGACATTGCCTTGGGACCTCATTTTCTATATATATTGCAAGGGAATTAAAGTAGATGATTCCAAAGGCCCCTTTTGAAAAAATATTTAAAATTATTCTGAACTGATATGCTACTAGCAAACAGACCAAACATTGACTGTAGCCAAATATGAGGAAAGATTTTGCTATGAGCTGCAAATAGAACCCTTAAAGTACAGATTCATAGACAACAAAAATTTTTTATGGGCAAGTTATCTGTACAATTAATAGTAGTGTATAATGTTATTAAAAATCTGAGCACAGAAGTGTTGAAAGACCTTTCAGCTATTGTAGAAACTAGCAATAATTCTTCAACAGTTACCAGAATAGACACAAGTCCACAGTTACAGCTTACCTCAGGATGTTCCATCAGAATAGCTAAGAACACTAAGCAGACCCATGCAGAGGGTCCAGCACAAGAAGGGAAAGATGTTGCTTCTCTTTCAGAATTGTTTTGCTAGTGTCTCAGATACGAGATTTACACTGTCTTTGTGTCAACTGGTCAAGCATTGTTTGGTCGGAATTCAAGAATACTGGTGGTATTCCTGTTGGCTTGCAGATACACAAATCTGAATGTAAACATAGGAGAGTATTCATGAATCTCAAGTACACACTTTTTAGGGTGTATCTCAATTTTATACTTTCAGATTATGGGACAGCAATTCTCTATAAGAGCATTTCATATATACCTACCTCACTTCAACAGGGAGGACTATCATAAGTTTCTGCCAAGAGATTTTATAAAGAAATGCAACAACAAAACTTGGAGTCTCCAAGCATCATTTGGAAAAACTAAGTGCTTAACTGTATGTGAGGAGAAAGTGGCATAAGGTCCCAGACTCCACCTTTAGAGAACACAAGCAGAAGCAAACCTTAGTGAGGAAAGAGTTCACAGGTATCAAAGGATCAAAGGCATCCAAAGTAAGGCTTTGCGCAGACCCTTATGTCTCTTCAAAATACTGTTCACATCCCTAGCTTGAATTCTCAAACTCATAATGGGGTCACCTTTAAACCAGTTAAGCAGGGTTTCAAGTTAGCTATTAGAGAGAATCTTTGCCAGGCCTCAGTCATCAAGGAGAGAACATTAAGATACATCATTAACAAATAGTAAAGGTAGAAAGTAAATGGCTAATGAGTGAGGATTCAGCTCCAGGAGAGATTAATATTCTTGCATAAAGCAGTTCATGAATGGACTTCTCCCACAGCCATCACTCCATTCATCCAGCAAGCAGAACTTTACCAGATTTGAGTGTTGTTTTGTTAAATGTGAAAAAAGATTTCTTTTTCATAGTGCTTTGGGAAGAACCAAGAAAAGAAATTTAGTCTGCCCACAGTTACCTTATGGGAAAACTGGTAAATGCTTAAGCTGAGTATTTGAGACAGTCTAACCTCATACCAAAGGCACCAGCAGTTAGAATCCCCAAAGTCTATCACAGATTCATCTCCTCTCAATTTCAACCCACCTTAAAGCACCCCACTTTCTCCAAGCTGAGTATTTCTGGCAAACTAAATTCAGCATGGACTACTACATGTCTGTAGAGAAGGTTGAGTGGCCCTGTACTCAACTTGGACAGTCAGCTAAAGGATGAGCAGGTACTGAAGTGCCTTATGATCTCAATCAGCATTCCAAAAGGTTTTCAAGGGGAAGTCAGAATAATGGGCATTGTGGTTGCCATGGTAACTGACCTATTCTATATCTTGTTTTCTGCCACTTTTATCCATTGAAGTGAATCTTATCTTTTTATTTTATATGCCCCATGATCTCCTGGTTGAGCTGCAAGACACTCTCAGCTCTTCGTGTATAGTAAATAATGCGTGTGTCTTGATTGATAAACATAGAACTTAAACATCAGACATTTAAGTAGCAATTTGACTTAACCAGTTGCCAACTTAAATTTCATGAGACCAGAAATTAAATACAAATTGATTATGCTGCCTTTGTTACTTTTTGCTGCAATTTTTTCCTGTTTGTTTGTGGTGTGTTTTGCATGCACATTCACATGTATGGGTACACTTGTGTGTGCAGTCTATGAAAGCTCAAGGTTTGATGTGACATGTCTTTAATCATTCTCCACCTAATAGGTGGAAGCAGGGGCTCTTGCTGTATGCAGAGCTTGTTGATTCAGCTAATCTATCTAGGCAGCTTGTTCAAAGCTGTCTCTGCCCCTTTATCTGCCTTCTGTGCACTGAGGTTACAGATGGGCCACCTAACTTTTGATAGTGGTTCTTGGAGGTTGAACTCCACTACTCACACTTGCATAGCAAGCACTTTACCCACCAATCCATCATCTCAGTCTTTATACTGAAATTCTTTTATTAAATAACTTTTTCCTCTCCCTTCTCCTCTACCTCCCCCATTTCACTCACACACAGCGGGGAATCTAGGATGGCTAACCTTTCCCTATTAAATATATATTCCTTGGTTTGTGTGTATGCATTTAATGACCTATGTGAGTAATTAGCATGTTAGGGTTTCTAACAGTGAAAAAATTTAGTTTCTACAGTTTGTTAAGAAATTTCTGGACCATCAAAATGGCTCAGTGAGTAAAGTACTTGATGCCAGTCCTGAACCTGATTTCGATTCCCCCAGGACCCACATGATGGAAGGAGAGAACTGACTCTAGCAAGTTGTACTCTAGCCTCTACACTCATACCATGGCATGAGTGCATGTACTATACGTGCACAAGTAAATAAAGTAATAAAAAATTTTACACAAAATATTTTTAAAAGAAACACCCTTCTTTTATAATTAAAAAAGTGAAGGTATCAGAAACATGTCTGATGTGTCTCTTTCAAACTGCTGTCTTAATCTAGAGAAAGAATGTTCATTGAGTTTGTAACAGTGGAGTAAAAAGAAACTTTCATTTTATAGTGGCTTCTGGGTTTACTCTTCTACATCTCATTGTAGACCTGATGGAAAATCTCAGACCTCACTGGTCAGTAAAATCTATGAATAAGTGATTATCATGTCCCTTCATGAGTATTCTCTGAATCTATCCCAAGAGGTAAATGTGTTATAATTTACTTAGTTTAAGTCAACCCTCTTTATAAGTCCTAATACCAGAAAACAAGAAGAGGTATAATCCAGAAGTCTTTCTCAGTGAAGTGCACCCTGGTTTTTATATCCTGTAATTATCCTCTGTACTACTCTTACAATCACATCTGAATGTGCATCATCACCTGTTGTTAATGCTAGAAAATAGAAGCATTAGCCACGGAGTGCTAACGAGTTCTCTATGTGTTGAAAATATCACTCCTATGTAACCTCATTCAGGTTTGTTCATTTTGGCCATCAGAAACACAATGATTTCTTTGCTATCTTTTAAAATAAGAGCGATTCAAAGCTGGGTCTTTCAAAATGTCTTCCCTAGGTTAATTATTTATTAATTGGCTAAGAGTCCTGTTGAAAAGAATTTCACTTATGTCTTTAAGGTTATTCTTCTCTTTTTTCCCAGAAATTGGCCCTGCCTCTGTGATGGTGGGAAACCTGGTGTCTGGGAAGAGGATTGCCCAGGCTAGTGGCAGAGACCTGGGTCAGATAGAGGACAATGACCAGGCCCGGAAGGTGAGAACCGAGGTCAGAGCTCACATTATTCCCTTGACTCTAGAGCTGTGTTAACTTTAGAATCACAGAGTGACTATCCTGAGTTCTTACTATGTCAGTTCCATATCTATTACTGATTTCCCATCTTTAATGATACTACCCTATTTCACAGTGGAGATTCATAGTCTTAGAGGGGAGAATGTCACAGGGCACATGAGGCTTTAGGAAATTTCATCATAGCACAGAAATGAAGAAATGATATCATGAACATGGGCAGGACTGAGGCAAATGTTAGGAAGCATTCATCTTCATTATTTGTTTTTAAGTATCCCCTGCCAGCCCTGATGTCAAGCCCACACTGCCTCATGGTGGCCTTGGTGCATAGTTTTTGTCTTTGGGGGTTTAACAGTTAATCTCCTTACTGCAGCTTAAAGAGCAAATATCTAGCTCCTCCTCACTGATGCAGCAAAGCACATAACTTGCTTATCTATTTCTGAATCACATTATCATACTTCATTTCTGACAATGCTTAGGACTCCCTGTTTCCCACAGCCCAAAGGTAGACCTATTCAGTATGGCCTATTAAGGAATGTGACAAAATTATTTAAATATTGCCAGTGTAATAATGTAGAGCAATTTGTTCATTAAAAGAACTTACCATCACACTCCCCTCATTTAGTACATTTCTATTAATAAAAGGTGTTAGGGTGGTATATATATATTTCCTGTATGTTCATGTGAAATGGGGCTGTCCTTTTTATTACAGACTAAATCAATAAGATGCATTTAATAATTTATGTAATTTGCAATGCAGTTTAATACCACCAGAGAATTGGCATTCTACAATCACATATTTAATAGAAGTTTTTTAAAGTTAGCTAGATTATATTCTTTTTCTGAACATCACAGAAATCAACATTGCCTCTTCTGGCTGATCTTACCTATAAGGGTGATAGCTCTCGTCTTACTTGGGCTGACTTGTATGGAACTTGCCTAACCAAGGGTACTATAGCAGTCCTTGGAGCTATCAGGCTGAGTCAGGCTGAGTTGCATTGAATTCTAAGTAGCTGCAGGGGAAAAGCCAAGTATTTGTTCATTCTGTTGATGATATATTCGTTTGACTTTTTCTTAAATGTGAATGTGTCCTTATGCTTCTATGGAGGAAAGCATGTACTTACACAATTTATTTTTGCTTAAATATTGATATTGCCTAGTACAGACTCCAGTGGCATGATTCTAACATCCTTGTGTCATTCCAGTTCCTGTTCCTCTCAGAGGTCTTACAATGGAGAGCACAGACCACCCCGGACCACCTGCTCTACACATTGCTCAATTGTCGGGTAGGCTCCAGAGCTCCAGAGCTCATATTTCCTAATTGCTTCTTTTAATAGTCTGAACTTTTTCCTGGGAGGTCACCTCCTTTATATTACTCCCAAAGACTTCTTTTTCCTGTTTCTATGGTAAAATACTCTAACAAAACCAACATATGGGGAAAAGGATTTATTTCTGCTCAGAGGTTGCAGTTCACCACTGTGAAGAAAGTCACAGCGTCTGGAGCTTAGGACAGCAAATCACACTGCATCAGCAGTCAAGAAGCAGAGAGCAAAGCAATAAAAGCACACTTCTCAGTGCTCTTACTTCCTCCTCAATATTTCCCACCCAAAACTGAGGCATTAATGATATCTGCAGTAGAGAACTAATGCAGTCATAAGAGATAGTTATATTCTTATTCTTTTTTAAAAGCTACTTTGTTTACGTATAAATATGTGTTAGTTGCAGGCTCTATGGAGTTTGAAAACCATTAGTACTTTATAAATTTTCTATTTAAATTCACATTAGGAAATCAAACTCTTCATCCTTAAAAGCACTTAGAAGTTAGAAGTTAAATATAGGAGGAAATATTAACAATAAAAGTTATATGCAAAGATCTAGTTTTGTTTTTTGTTGTTGTTGTTTTGGGTGTTTTTTTTTTTTTGGCTTTTATTTATACTGTGGAACTAAAGCTTGATAAATAGACCATGATCTAGGACTTCTTGGTGGGTACAGATATCTGCAAGTCTGTAAATCTGCAGCTGTTTAGGATTCCTAATTATCAAAGTTTTGCTTTCTAGTTATCAGGGTGTTTATGTGTCATTTGCATCCCTCTGAATATATGTGCTTGAACATCTTTCACCTTATTTTGTCATAAAGGTCCTTCTCAGCTTGAAATTACCCTTTGTGGCATTGGCCATGATGGATCATCATATACTACATCTGCTCAAGACCTTATCCAGGGGGAGTCGTTGGAGACAAGGAAGAGCATTTCCCTATTGTCCCCCTGTTCTCTAATGTTTAATGTCATGCCTCTCCTCTGAGGGGGTACCCTGTGTTCACAGCCCATGGTCCTCCTCCTGCATATGGCCATTTGGTCAGAGTCTAAACTTTGAGAATTCAGTGACCACATATCCATGCATCTAAAATGACTCCCCTTTCCCCCCTTTTTTCTTTATTTCAGTTTCATTACATTTTTATTTGTTTTTCTGTGTACTTGCATGGGTGCATGTGTGAAACATTATGCTTCTGGAAGTCAGAGGACAACTTGTGCGAATCAGTTTTCTCTTTTTCTATCATGTGGATCCTGGATATTAAACTCAGATCTTCAGTCTTATCAGCATGTACCTTTACCTGCTGAGCCATCTCTCTGGTCCCAGACTTCTATTTTTTATCTGAATTCATCTTCAGCCTATAGATATAGACACGACTGCTCTTACTTCACACAACTGTCCATTTTCATCTTCCTTCACATCTGTGATACTTTCATTTCCCTTTAATCTTCCTTCTTCCTGGATTCTCCTGGCTCTCTCCATATAGTTTTTTTCCTGTAAGCTCCTCTTGACTTTCCTTTGTCCATAGCTTCTTCCATGGCTCTCCCTCTTCGAATATTGCCTCCCAAGTGATGTCTAGCATGTATGGTCTTAATTGTAACTTACCTCCTTTTAACTGGGCGTGGTACCTTCTAAAATCTTTTGATGAGTATAACTTTCTCCCTTTCCTTAACTTCCCTAGCACTGCCATGGTGATTGCATCCTGTACAAACTGTCAACATTTAGAGA